CAACCCGAAATCATTCTAATTCTAATTCTAATTCGAATCGTTGATTCGGTTTGACCGATTCAATTCTGATTCAAACCAAACCGTAATTGAATCTAAGTAGATTCTGGATAAGGCATGTTGGTTTCACGAAGAGAAAAGGAGATGTGTAAACTTACGAACGTTTCCCTGTTTATTATCGCTTATCGAATAACCTATTTCTTCATCCTCGAACATTTAAACTCCACTGTGAAAACCTAATATCAGAATACCAGAAGACGATTGATCATGCAATACTACAACTTGATCATGCCATCATCATCTTCATCCCTGAGGGAAATCCTTAGAAGACGATTGGGAATCCAATAAACAAGTTTTCGACAGTGCTGTGTCGTTGCAGTCGTCCTTCAAACCATGCATGTTTCTGTGGGCGAAACCACGCAGTTTTCCCCTGCTGCGGCCTCATGAGTCCCCAACTCGGGCCAATTAGGTGGCTTCTCTTCGTCTGGGTCCCACCGCTGCATGAGGAAGAAGAGAGGCTGTTCCTCTTGAAGCTATTTGACGATGGCACACTGCGCGGATAAAACCCTGTAGACTTGTCTCTGCTAAACTGCCAAAAGAAGCCCTACGTAGTTTAAGACTCACAGGAGGAGTCCGTAAAGAATCCCTCGCGTCGGAAGGGGCTTATATCGTTCGTACGTGGGATTATAGTAATATCCCTTTCTCAAAGCTTCCATTTGCAGGCTCTTTCCATGCTCCTCACGACGATAATTAAAGGCCATACATGAAAGACTGACCATCGTCAGTAGGGTTCCATTATAATATGTTGTTCTGGCTGCAAGACAAAACAAGATTAATCCCCCTCTATAAATATCCTGTGATCCCCAAAGCCAAAGCAAGCTCATACCCACACCACAACCCTTGTCGCCCTCCTACTCTCAGGTTACTTACTGTTCCTCTCAGCTCCATCTACCTAACATTCTGTAACCCTAAGGCGGATCCTTAACTGGTTTTGTTGTTGCTATTCTCTTTCCTTTTCCTCAGTGTGGGAGGCATGGGGAGGCCACCATGTTGCGATGAGCACGGCGTCAAGAAGGGCTCTTGGATGCCTGACGAGGATAAGAAGTTGACGGACTACATTCAGAAGCACGGCCAGGGGAACTGGCGGCGGCTGCCCAAGCTCGCCGGCCTCGACCGGTGCGGCAAAAGCTGCAGGCTGCGCTGGACAAACTACCTCCGCCCGGACATCAGGAGGGGGAAGTTCACAGACGAAGAGGAAAAGCTCATCATCCAACTCCACTCTGTTCTCGGCAACAAGTACGTCTTTCTTCTTTCACTCGTTTGGTCGCAGTGGTTTGGGTCTTAAGCAATTCTCCATCGTCTTCTCCGACTGAAGGTGGTCGACCATCGCCACCCGTTTGCCCGGAAGGACCGACAACGAGATCAAGAACTTCTGGAACACCACTCTGAGGAAGAAGCTGCTGCAGATGGGCATCGACCCCGTGACGCATCAGCCAAGAACCGACCTCAGCCTGCTCTCCAGCTCGACGAGCCGTCTCGATAGTTCCCTTCAGCTACAAGTAGATGCTGCACGCTTGATCGAGTTGCATTTGGTGCAGAACCTCGTTCGGCTCCTTACCTGCAGTAGTCCCGCTCCAAATCTGGACCTCATCCGTCTCCTTGGATCAGCTGTTCCTAAGAACCACCACCAAGTGAACGATCTCTTCGCTTTGACCCCCCAGCTCTCGAGTCTCGTCAACGGATCACTCGGTCTTCCCAGTTTGGCGCCGGTGGGTCAACAAATCCTTTCCGTGAATGGTGGACAAACAGCTGCACCTTCATCTGCAGATGATTCAAGCTCGGAGAGTATGATGACGAGCAAAGACTGTGGTACAAACTCCGGTACGATCCCGGCATCAGTTACTGCACCTTCGTTGGTTTCATCTCCAGAGAACATGAGTAAGAACGAGACCATCTCTCTCGAGGGATCTACCAACACGCCCACCTCGCCACCCTTCGAGGCTTGGGATGCCCTAAACCTGGACGATTTTGGCTGGAAAGAAATCATAGAGTAAGAATCTATATGTATACTTCATGCTTGCTTCAAATCTCTAGCTGATCTCAATTCTAATCATATTATCCGTCATCGCAGTCAAATGTCGCCATGGCTAAATGCACCATAGGAGCCACAGCTCAAGGAAAACACCACTCGCGCAGGAAGAGAAGTGGTGGTAGATGACTTTTGTGATGCAGAAAATACTGGTCGTGTACATCTTGGTTTTTTGGGTGTGTGTTGAGACTTGAGATTGTTTCATGTTATGTTCAGCTGGTAATAGTAGAAGAACACCCTCCTCCGGTCCTTTGTTTGAGGAAAGCTCACATCATGGAAATGAATGCCTGAAACATTTGATGAACCGTTTAACGTTTAACAATTAGGCAGCGGAGTAGGAGATGACTAACGACGAAGAACAAAAAATGTATAAGACGAAAGAGACAGTGTCTGTGTGGAAGAAGACTGAGGTGTGGTCTCACATTGCAACCTCAGACTATGACAAAGAAGCAAGTGTCCTCTTCAGTCAGTTTCTCTGCAACAAATAGTCTTATGATTAGTTGCTCATTAGGTGGATGAACTCAGTCGCATCCATTCCTTGGGCAACAAGCCATCTTCACAAAGTGTACTCCTTCTTCTACGTCCGTCCTTATATATTTGCAGCAACTTTGACTCGGGAAAAAGGATGCTGAAAAGACGTCAGTGCTTATTAATTATGTGTATTTGGTTGTGCACTACTCTATATAATCAATCATATATTGCAACCTTTATGTCCCACAAGTATACTCATATGTATAGTAGTCGGACAATGGATCTACAAGAACCAACCATCTACCTAATCTCAGCAGAATACTTCGATTGGAAACCCAATTTAGATGAGTTAGGTAAACACCCGAAAAATGACAACCTTGAAAATGATCACCGTTAGTTAGCTATGTACGTATCCCGATCTCACAACTCCTACACCATATACACATCAAAAAAATACATATATCTTCAAGAAGCCACAAATTATGAACCTTAATACACTTTAACGACTCTGAATTCTTGATCTCTCAAGTACGCATTGATTGATATGGGGAATATTCATCTTCGAATGGAGCTCGACATGTGGCTGCCATGTCACCGTAAAATGTTAAAGATTCAACGTATACAATACATCACATCAGCAAAATCATAATAATAATAATAATAATAATAAAATATTCTCTTATGGGGGAATATGGGAAGAGAAGAGAGTGTGCTTGTATTCATCCTTCTTTAATTGCTCATGGTGGAAGAAGGATTGACATGAATACAAATACATTTATTTTGAGATCTATCACTCTTTTTCTCCTCTCATACCCATTTTGGAAATACTAAGTTTGAAGTTGGAGAGACAATCTCGAGGATCTCTCTCGATTTTGATCTTCATATAGGATAGGATGAAAATAGTTTAGACATTAGCTCTTTTGGCACAGGTCAAGCTTGATTGATCATCTACATTGGATAATGACACAAAGATATCTTTACGAGGATTATATAACACTGTTAAGCCCTATCGATGCACAAGGTAACAACAAATATTGGTCTTTAACTTTCGATAGGGCAATGATATCTCAACCCATCAACCCATGCCTCAAAACTTGAACATCTTTGTTGAGAGGGACTTGAATGGTTCTTAAGGCCAGGTAATCAATGATTGGCCCCACTCGGGTAGCATAGGGCACTGTTTAGGCCCTGGAATAATGTTGGGCTATATTCTCTCTTTGCAACTTATCATGTGTCGTTGACTTCTCTATATGGGTGTGTGTTTTATAACATATTTAAAATGTCCATTGAGGGTTTAAAAAAAAAAATATTTTTAAATATAAATTAGTGATTGATAAATCTTTTTTAAATCATATTTAAATTAGATATTACATTTAAAATGCTCTTTTAACATTTGTAGGATACTAATATAATTTTTGAAAATTTCAAAGTATGGATCATACAAATTTTTTTTTTGTAAGATTATACACATTTATTTATTTATTTATTTTACTTATTAATTTATGTATTTAATTTCAAAAAAAATTAGAAAGATAAATTTATTATATAATATTCAATGAATCCTTGAGATAGATATAATTTTATCAAATAAAACTGACATCGATAAATATTTAAAATATAATTTTAATCTAATCATTTGTTAAACACTCAAAATGTTCTATAATTTCATATTTACAAAGTTTCTTTATCAAAATGCACATTAAAAAATAGAAATATGTTCTTAAACGCAGTTACCAACTGATGATGTGTTTTCTTTCATTAGATATCTTAATCATACATAATCAAACATTAATCCTTAAGTCTCCATAACCTTGTCATTCCTCACCAACTAATTGATGCCACGTGTTTTCTTTGAGTAGACATCTTAATCATACTTCATAATTATGTTATTAGTTGAATTAGTGGGTCAATTGATCCAATCATATGTTTAATGAAACTTTTAAAATTATGTTAAAGTATAAAATATACATATAATAACATCATAAGAGAATATATATATATATATGTTCTTTTTATAATAAAAAATATATATTTAAAGACACAAATATCTCTGATAAAGAAATAAATAATTCGACACGTTGGTCGAATCATTCTTGTACGTCAACGTCGACTCGTTGGTAATCTTGAGCACCTAAATCACCTTAACATGTCGATCTAATATCAGGATAAAAAGTTTTATGTGACACCCCATTGCTCGATGCACTAATTTTCAAGCTCACTATACTTTCTGAGTCTTCCAAGCACAAGTCTCTAACATAGTTTTTATATTATCTCCCTTCGAGTTTTCATGGTCTCCCGACATCTGACTTGGTTCTAAACTCGAGCAGGATTTATTGGCTCCAAACCTTTGACGACAACCTACGCAATCTACAGTAACAAATACTGACAACGATGTTTAGGCAAGAAAAAGTATTACACAAAACGCATACAAAGAAAAGAGGAGCCAAAGATGATGAAGTGAAAACAGAGCATTACAAGCTGAGTGTTGTATACCGCTCAAGACAAATCGGTGAGACAAATACACATCGGTACATCAAGGCTTCTTACCAATCTGCACAACTCATCATATCCATTTCTAAAGTAACAACAAGTTTTACATAAGTTTTTGAAAGAGAAGGGCCTCGAAGATCCAAGCCCTTGCAATTTTGTGTTCCCAACATCCGTTAGCTGCTACGAAATGAGACTTGATTCACACATATGAAATGATATGATTGAACATTCGTTCAAGTCCCACTTTCAGCTGATGCAAATTACTAACCAAAAGATTGGATGTCTTTTGCATGTTTTGTCTCATCAGCTCCCATTAGCATCTGACAGATGGCATTCTTGGGCATTTGAAGATACGATCCTATCAGCATCATCGGTGCCAGTCTCGGACGGCACAATCCCTTCCGCAAACACAAACTGGTTGGTGACACCAAGGAAATCGGCAAGCTGCATTACAGCAGATTGAGAAATAGCACTCTCTGGATTGACCGAGTCTGGTAAATGAGGTAGGCATTCAGGGAGGAATTCCTCCTGATGCCTTGTTGGCGCATAAAGTGCAAGAACAGCCTCGCAAAAAATGAATCTGCAACAATAAACACAAAGCCAAACAAAGAAATGTCACCTTATTAATTAACAACAGATAAATTATAAATTTCTATGCACCATAAGTATGAGAAATAAATGACATAAACATGCAGCACACAGTCATCAGAATGCTTGCTATCCTGTTATGATTCAGAAGCAGGAAAATTGAGTCAAATAAATAACAATTATTTTTCTTTAGGCAACTAGTGGTCTCTGAGTTATACAGAATCACTGGGATTTTAGGTTTCAGACGACACTAGCAAAAAGGAGACTAATGGTCAATAAATGTGCATAATTATGGCCAGAATCCAACAGAGTTGATAGGTCATTTTTCTTGAAGCAGATGCCAATAGTATATCAAAGTATGAAATCATTGACATATTTAATGTTTGATTTCCACAATCCAAAAGGTGACCTGAGTAGAAGCCGCCTCAAAAATGGGTCACCCAAGACTTCAATCCAAACTGGATGTAGCCCATTTGATGTTATTAATGTTCTTTCCCATTCATTCAATGAAAATGACAGTAATTTCTCAGCCTTGTCATATTTATCCTGAAACAATTGCAATTCTTAGCGTCAAAGCAATAAAAACAAGTTGCTAAGAAGTGAAAAACAAAATATGAGCATAAAGAAACAAGAAGACTAAATGACATACCCTATCAAAATTCATGCCAGAAATACCAATCAAGAAGCAGAAAGCTTGCACTGGTGCTGTGAGGAACATAGTGAATTGGCTCCCATTTTGAAAACGAGCATACTCACTAGAAGATGTCAACGGCGGAGGTCTAGAACTTGGAGAAAGAAGTATAGCTGTTGTTTCTCCTTTCTCAGCTCCATGTATAACCTGTATAAAATGTTGTCATAAATATAAAAAAAACAGCACCATCCAAGGCAAAGGATGGTAGAGTAACAAACACTTCAGTCCAGGACCATAAGACACACTGAAAAACTAGATTTGGAGAAATTTTACAATTTAACATTGTTACTCTTTGAACACCACAGATGTAGATAGCATGAATTAAATGGGAACTTCTAGTTTTTTGTTGATCGAAACAGATTTTGTAATCTAAACCGGTTATTTATGAGCAAGAAAGCATGAGAAATATCCTTCTATGTTAAACATGTGAAAAGGATATTAAAGAATCACTCATGCAAAGATGAAGACACTACAAATAACAAATTTTTCCTTTTTTTCTTTATTCAGACCCATGAAATGCCACAGGAAGGCCAAAAACTTTTCTAAGACCAAACTTTATCTTTGTCCCGGCTTCAGCAAAAGTTTTACGATTGAACCTATCACATTTGTATTAACTTGCCAAAAGCATCCTATAAGAACATTTTCAAAAAATAAAATGTAGAAATTTGATTAAATATGATTTAATCGATTGTAAATATGTGGTAATCACCAATGCAAACAACTGTTCTAGAATATGTTTTAGTTGAAATCGGAGCTTGTAAAATTAAGGCGAGTAATTAATAGAATTTTCTTGTTACCAATGAGTTCGGTTTGGCTAATAGTTGTGAATTATAATTTATAATATTATGCAGCAGTGAAAAAGCATGTTCAACGATAAGTACTAACATGAGACCTCACTCTTCATGTATGACTGAAGGAACATTGAACCTCATAATTGCATATCAAGAGTAGACACAAAGTTATGCAATGACTAAGCTGAACTATAATCAAAGAGACACATTAAACAAACAAACTGAAGTCTTAATCAACTAGGTTATCATGAAAAATTCATTCAAATGCAGCAGTTATTAGTTGTCTTTCATATCTGATTGGCATTCCTCGATATTTCAATTAAACTGATAAGGTTAAAAGTTTTTCCTATGTAAAACAATAATATTGCAATTTCCTAATGTCACAGTATTTTATGCTTTTTATCCACATGCACCTCATATTTCTATCTGTAGCAATTAATTCCTGAATTTTAGTGATATATTTGCAATTCATTTTGTAAGAACAGAAAGATAACACAACACTTCATTTAACTAAAATAGAAAATTATGTGTGCATTTTTTATGTCCAGGCACTAGTCTTCCGAGTCCCAGAATGTCAAAGAGAACATTTGAGCTGACAACCCTGCCTTGAATGCTTGGCTTTTGTCGCTGTCAATCACCAGAAAAATTGGTTTTCTTGTAAATGGAATCAAATCGCAAGGGTAAATGAAGTTTGAACCTGAGAAAAAGAGAAAAAAAAAGTTGTTGATACTAAGTATGGTAACAGGTCTCAAGACAATTATAAGAACACAATACTGCCAGCAATTTTGATTATCAAGGTGTAGTTGCATAAAGGTGAATGAGCATTTTGTGTGCAATTATGTCATTCGTGTAGTCTGATGACTAAATAAACAACTGTTGGTATGTCAAATAAAGACACAAAAAGGTACCTCCATTTCCACGAGAACCAAACCACAAACAACCCTGTTGGTCAGAACCAACAATGTGGCTCTCCTTGTTCCGAATGGATGTATGGGTAGGTCTGCCATGTGGGGGTCTCACCAGGGAGGACAACTCAAGATTATTAAAGTTCTCTCCAATCTTCTCAGCAGCATCCAATGAAATTTCAGAAGTTAATGATACAGGATTACTTAGTGCAGGTCCTCCTGCAATATTTTAAGATGAAACAAATTAGCTGTCTTTCATAACATATGAAACTATGATTTCATAATGGAATTACAGTTTAACCTGCAGTTGAGAGGTATATTAACATGATCCCATCAGGAGGGAGCTCTTCACAAATTGTCGAAAGGACCTGCACAGAAGGTATTGGTGAAGAAGAAGATGCAAATGTGGGATAGCACCGATAAACTCACCATAAGAAAATGTGTAACAGAAGGCCGATACAAAATCAGCTTTCTTGGATTAGGCGGCAATGTATGATCTCTAATATCCTGCAATAGATTGACACGATTAGTCCCGGTTCCAAAATGACTATTGTCAGCACCACTCCTCATTGAGAATGAACCAGATGGTTCCCACTCCAGGCACTGAAGCATCCTGAAAGTATCCAGAGTCAGCTCTGTAAACTTGACCTGGCCACATAAAGCACATTAGCCATTACTGTTTCTAAAATATTTCAAGAGTGTAACATGACACTTGAAGGAGGATTAACAGGAAATATAAGCACAATTTACCTCATTGTTATGATAGCTGCTCAGGATCACGTCGCGTAAAACCAGATTCCTCTTGGTGTAGCTAGAAGCCACTATAGGAAGTGACTCTGGATGCACATCAAAGAGAAAGCTATATCTTAAAGGCCTCATGTTCATGAATGGTGTATCAACTTTTAGAAACCTGACTATTTCCTGAACCACATGCTTCCACTCTTTGAATTCTGTTTCCTGCGTTTTACAAAGAACACAATACAGAATATTATCGACTGATTATTGTGATATTTTAGCAACCAAAGAAATTCCTTTACTTGTTGCATTATAACCAAAATTTTGTTGTTTGAGAACAATCAGAACATCAAGGCCTAGTTCCGAATATCTAAGACCTATAAGACACTTTATTAAGATCACCAGTTGCTTCAATAAAATTGACAACTGATGAGTTTTAGATCCTAACAGATTCACCAGAAAGAAGAAAGTTTCCTCGAAATAATAGATTCAACATTAGAAGAATCAGATGGCCATATATCTAACCTTAATGACGAAGTTAGGTTTCTCAAAGCAATAGAAGGTTCAACTTAAGAAGAATCATGGGGCCTTACTTATATCCGATCCTTATGATTAAAGCAACACGTGATCCATATGATCTTACCATGAGATGTGATGTTTATGGCAACTTCACTTTGAAATATTTGATGATTTTAAGCAATTAAGAAGAACTCGATCATATCCATTCTAAACCAACAAAAAAAATCAAGAATGATCACATTCACAATGTGTCTACTAATACCAATCAATGTTTCGCAATCGGAACATTCTTTTGTTAATCAAGGCCTACCTGAAAGCTCTTCTTGCACTCATCCACCATTGACTTGAGCAACACGACCAGTTTGGCGATCATCTCCCGCCGCCCGAGCACGAGGCAGACGATGAGGAACCGTGCGAGGAACCTCAGCTGCTTGTTGGCGAGAGCCATGTCCTGCTGCGCCGGGCTTCCGCTGCTGTCCCGGAAGTACTCACGGCTGAGGATGGCCTCGTAGAAGATGTAGGCCTCGGCGAGGTAGGACGAGTCGCTCGTCCGCTGGTACTGTCCGTAGTAGAGCTGGGCGATCCTAGCGGCGATCTCACCGATCTCCCACCGCCGGAGCCCCGCCTCCACCAGCTTCTGGCGGTGCTCCTGCTGCAGTTTCCAGAGCTGGGTATAGATCTTGAACGCCTTGTGGAGATCCGCATCGTTCCTGAAACGATTCAAGAAGGAAATAAGGATTGGGGATCGAGGAGTCCACCGGAGGCCACGAAGGAGAAGCAGGAAGGGGTCGAGGGGATTTGGCTCACCGATTCCGGCCGTAGATGGGGAGATCGCGAACCCTAGAGAACTTGCGGTCGGCCTTGTCGAGCAGAGACCAGAAGAGCTCGGTGATGGGGATGTTGTTGCTGTTGATCGGCGCCATCTTCGTGGCGTGTGTCGAAAGGGTTTCCGTTCGAGTGTGGGAGGTTTTGGCCTTGAGGCGATCAAGCCATGCCCACTCCCGCGAGGAAGACGACGACGCCGAATGGAGGAAGGATCAGAAAAGAAGAGCGAGTTTCTTTACTTTTATACCCTTGCAGAACTTGGAAATAGCATTCAAAATATTAATTTGAATTTTAATATGCACATAAACATCAAATATTTTGCTTTCATATTTATACTAAAAGTAAATATATATATTATTTCTTTGAGTAATCCCTCAACTCCATTTTTTTTTTTCCGCATAGACTTAAAAGTTTGTTTCTCGTTTTAATCCCATTAAAGTATTCACCATATTTAACACCGTATATTTTTTATTTTAGTCTTCAAAACAAGATTTCATCTCATAATTAGAACAATATTTAAATGGATATGAATTAATTATTGTAATGATGACAATGATAGCAACAATAAATTATAATTATCTCTTGATTTGATTTATTACAATTCCGGGACAAATTTGGCACATGCATGCAAAGCTTCAAAATATTATACTTGTTATTTCTTGCATATATTAATATTTGAAGGTTGCGTATCTGTCACACTAATCTAACGTTGAGCGTGTAAAATTCTGATACATCAAAGTTTTCACACCGCAAGAATATTTGTCTTGCTTAGCTTAGATTGAGGGCTTAGAACCTTGCGAGATTGTTACGATGTCAAAACTGCAAATCTGGCCTCACCAGTATGAACGTCGATCGAATGAACTGGCAGATGGTTGACATCTGTCTAGTTAATGCTGCAAGACAGAAATAAGCTTGAAATCGATGGTTATGCTTGAAATCGACACACTACGTTTGTATGAGAAGTGTATCATCTAAAGGTAGCGATTTTGGAAAACCACTATAAAAAAGATTGCATCGATATGTCCTAACACAATATGAACTCGAAAAGTATTCAACATGTTGACTTAAATATTAGGAGAATATTATTGGGAGTGCCTTGACTTAATTTTATAGGATTTAGATTAACAGAATGAATTTTGAGAGCTTAAAGACCGAGTCAAGAAAAGAATTAGGTTATATACGAATTCAGCTTTCACCTTACATAATCAAAATATGACTTAATATGTGCTAACCAACTTAGTAAAATTTTCGATATATTATTTGTTACTATCAGAGTTGGTTATCTGACACTAAAAATATGCCAAACATGATTAGTCTGACGTGTGAGTCAAGGAAAGAAAATAGAATTCTAATGGGTCGAATTCTTTATATATATATATATATATATATATATATATATATATATATATATATATATATATATAAATTTTAATTAACATATTAACTTTTAAAAATTCTTATAGAGCATTTTTTTTTAAAATGATGATATTAATCTTATCAGGCATCACCTTCACCCAGCATCATTGGCCTCACTAGACTCATTACCCCATTAAACCTACTCCTGCATGCCTCGCCTTCATTGTGCTCGATCATGACCGGTAGCCCCTATCATCCTAACACACCTCTTCTTTGCCTTATTAAACTCATCCCTACCTCCACAGCTACATCTCCCCCCCCCCCCCCCTTCATTAGTAGCCCTTCGCTTGCCCCTTCGGCGTTAGCTGCCTATGCAATGTGACAACCAAGGCGAGATATACAGTAACATTTTCAACATGCATTAGTGAAGCTCCACTGAAGGAAAAATGGGTTTAATGGGATAGAAGAGATAAATTAGAGTGATAAGGGCTTAGCAATCACTTATGCTACGGGTGAGAATGACAAGGGCAAGACACATATGAGGTATATTTGTATGTCAAGTCGGAGGGTGCTAGGGAGCAATGAGGTATATAAAAGCATGGGCTGAAGTACAAGATAAAGACGATGATGGTCCAATAGAGGTAGAGGTAAAATGATATTCTCTTGACGAATACTCTACAAATTTTTTTAAAAATTGCAATGCTCTTAAAAAAAATTCTCAGATTTCTTTTCCAGAATGTACCTATTCAAAAGTGCATTAGAAACTCATATTTATATTAGTGCATGGAATATTTTTTTTTCTAGTTCTTATTAACGTGGTAATGGGCATTTTTATAAAAAAATTATTTTTAATATTATTATATGATATTTTGATTTTCCTAGGTCGATGACGATTCAAATCTAATTATAGTTTTTTTTTCAAATATGTCAAATCCACTTATTGAGACCTTAGAAAACTACATAACCAATAAATTTTTTTTAATTGTTAGATGATTTAATTTAATAACTTATCTAAATAGGAATGATGATATACTTTAAGGCGTTTGTAGTGCAATAAATAATCGTAAGAATTAGAGACATGCCCATCAGATATTCGAGATGGCTACGCGAGCTATCCACTTATAATTGTTTGTATAATTATGTACAAGACGTCATAAAGCTGTTAATGATTCATCCATCAGTTCAAATGTCCAGTATTGAGGTATTGTTTATGTGTACAACATGACATGTGTAATCTTTCTGTATTAAATATAAATGTATTTATTTATTTTGGCATACTAATATCATCAAATCTGCTACCAACAATATAGCATCCAACACTTGTTCAACCGCATGTGTTATTGGTATCATCGAGGCAGCTGCGTGATCAAATTTATTATGCCCATTTTGTTTCCTACAAAGACCAATAAAAAACCCATCAAGGATAAACCATAGACCCTTTAGATACCATCAGACGGTCTCAATCACATCCTGGCGTTTTCCGGGCCAATCCTCATCAAGGGTATTTTCGGAATGGTGGATTCAACACCAGCTTCCCCCTTGTGAAAGGGTCACAGAGGCCAGCCGTGCGCACTTCCCCCGTCTCTTCCCCCTTCCTATGGCGACGGCTACCTCCTTCGCGACTCCCTCCCTAACCGGTGAGCCCCGAGTTCTTTATTCGATTTCATTTCTGTGCATATTGTGCGGCGTCTGCCCAGTTGATTTTTATGGTTCCTCGGGTCGATTCCGTTTGGGTTCCCAAAAGCTAGGGTTTCTCGATCGATTGGTGCGTATTTTGATTTTTCTTTGGGTAGATATCGTTGTTGATTCTTCGAGCGTGGCGATGTGGCGTGAGATCTATCTCTCCCGCTTATATTTTCCGGCGTCGTAGTGCTGATGCTTGATATCTCGTTGGTTGATCTCTGGAATGTGTTCCAGTTTTATACGGTGCTTTGATTTTTTAGCCTGTTTGTTGTTCTCAGATTGTGAATCTCGGCATCACAAGAATATCTTTTATCGATTTGATCCCAGCATTTCGTCAATTTTTGTTGATCTTTTTTCTGTGGTGGGTTTATTGCTTTAAGTTCTGAATGTTTGACCCGAGTTGGGCACACAACAGAACTTCATGTTAAAGAAGTAATTAAATGGAAAATGATTTTGAGAAGCTGTAAATTTTCCTACAATACATTTTTCGTTTCCTACAATAATATAAACAAACTATTTATATTATTTGTTTTAGCTTCTGTTTATTCCCAAAACTTAAGCTACGTCACTCAGTCTTTCGTATTCATCATATTCACTATTATTATCTCTCTATAACTAACCTGAACAACATGGACATCATATTGACAACATACGTTTTGTTACATGGAGTTGAATTATGGATAGATTAGCATATAAATATCTGCTTGAAGTTGATTATGCTATGCTTTTCTCTTTTCCTTAGGTGGTATAGCGCAGTCAAAGAAATCTGGCCTACTGAATGAGAAGCTCAAATCTTTAAGTGTGTATCATTCTCATTTGGCTGTTCCTAAGAAATCGAAGCTGCAAGATAACCGCCCAAATTTGTTTGTCCGTGCTGAGTACAGGTGATTATTGTTTACTGATGTTTATGATATCATGTCTCAAATATTTTTTTTCTTTTAGTTTTTCCTTGGTTGAGGGTGGGGAATGGGGTGAAATTGGGTGGAGTGAAAAAAATAATTCTATCTACTGCATTTCAAAGTTCCTTTTATCTATAGGATTTCTTTATGTAGTTCCGATACATTAACTAGGGATGCATGGTTTCCTGGTTTCCTTGATAGCCGAAGAGAGTTAAAGAAATAATTGTAGCTACTGTATTTCAAAGTTCCTTTTATCTATAGCTAGGATTTCTTTATGTAGTTCTGATACATTAACCAGGCAAGCATGGTTTCCTGGTTTCCTTGATAGCCAAAGAGAGTTCAGTCTTCTTTTCTAATTTTACAGATTATCAGTAGCATCAGAATATGTCTTGTTCACATTCTTGGCACTGTAATATACTGACAATTAGTGCTTCTAGGCTGCTGTTAGACTAATTTTATTGAATTTAGTATTTTGAATGGCATGTCAAATTCTCATCCAGTGAGAACAAGCACACAGAACTCAATGCATTTATTATGGTTGTCTAGTGTTGGTCTTACCATTCTTTAGTTTTATTATTAGTGTTTTGAAAGGATAAGGCCTAGTCTGCAGATCTGATTCAAGTGGAGTTCAGCTCAACAGTTCAGTGAAATTTTCTTCTTGATTGATTTTTTGCAACATCAATTAATAACCTATTGGTTTTTGCTTCTTCTGGTATTTGTTATTATTGATCTTTTTAATTGCAAGATACATTTCTTGCATTATTGGACATGTGATCCTTGTTATTGTATAGGTCACCGGAGATTGGAATAATTTATACTGTGTCCTGACAATACACACTTGAAGTTCAATCACAATATTTTTTTGGACTTTGTGTAACTCAGTTTCAGCATGTGCCTTATTTAATCATTGTTGCATGCATGATATGTACCTGTCATTTTTATCTTCATGTTGAAATCATAGACATATGGTTTTAATTTCTGTTTTTAACTTATGTTTTTCAGTCCAGTTGTTTTCGATCTCTTACAATAGCATGAACTTTTTTTATTTACATGCAGTGATGGTTCAAGAGGTGGAGGTGGTGATTTTGTTGCAGGTTTTCTTTTAGGAGGAGCTATTTTTGGAACACTGGCTTATGTATTTGCTCCGCAGGTGATGAATCTTTTTGCAGAACAGATTACACATTTTTCACTTATCATGTGAAAAGCACTCTGGATTCAGTGCTAGCTTATGCTTTTCACTGCTTCTGCTTGTTATATTTTGCTAGCTGGAACTTGTTTTCTTGTTTTCGTCTCCAAAGATACCAATGCAACTTTTAGATTTGCTAGTTTTTAGATTGTCTTCCTTTGGAATTAACACCGGTACATGGAATAATTATTGATGTGATAGATTAATGTTTTTGTTACAACCTAGGTTAACATCAGATAGGCAAAGTAAAATATAACTACAAAATCCTCTCCATCAGAATCTTGTTTATAGCATTGAGTAGCTACCTATATCCTAAAGAAATAAACCATTCTCTGCATTTCTGGAACAGATGATGGTATTTCTATGCATGTAAGATGCATAAAACTATGGGTTGTTTCCTTAGACCTTCTGTAGAACTACTAGGTTATTCATTTTTTTCAGGTTCCTTAACTTCATGTGCTTTATTCTTTTATATTCTTTGTTAACATTGTTGTTACGTTTTCTTGCCACTAAATTTAACTTAGTATTGTGAGTTCCTGAAAATGTGGCTTCTTTTTGGCTTTTGCAGATAAGGAGATCATTGTTGAATGAAAATGAGTCTGGGTTTCAGAAGGCCAAGCGACCAATTTATTATGACGATGGGTTAGAGGTGATAAATAAATTGACTAGCAAGCAACCATATGAGTTTGATATATATTCATCTGACTTCTCTAATGGTATGAATTTGAATTTTGATAGCAGAAAACTCGTCAAACACTGAATTCAAAGATCAGCCAGCTGAACAATGCAATCGACAACATCTCCTCTCGTCTACGAGGGAGGAACAATGTGGTCACTGAATTTGTTGACGCCGACTCTGAAGTGGAATCTGCCATGTAGGATTTCCCGTTGTTCGGTCTTTGACTAAGCTTTAAAGATGTAGTTGCAACATAACTTTTACAACCCATGGCTACATGTATTTTTACCCTATTCATCTTGTTTTTTGGTTCACATTCACTTGGATTTAGTTTTTGAACTAGAATTGTTGGGTTTCTTTTAGCTTTGAGTCGTCTCTCTCGTTATAGATATAGTTGCAGGTAACGCAGTATCCTCTCAATCTCTTGAACATTCCATTCATAATTCTCATGCAGAATATTTTATATTTTCATGCTCCTTCGATATGAGAAAACCCTTCTACTCTTATATTAAAATCATAATTTTTTAAAAAGTTTAATCAATTTTGCTTTCTCATCGTTCTTAGATAACAGTAGAAGGGTTGTTAGTTATTTCTTATGAGAAGATTATTAAAAATTTTCGTATGAATAATGTATCTAAATTTTTAGTTAAAAATGATGGTTGTTAGTTTTAAATTGTAAGTATGGTAGTTTTTCCTATGAGGTTTTAATTGTCTAGATGTATAAGCTACCAAGTCCTTAACGTTTAAGTCCTTAAAGTAATCACCAGGGAGTATTAGTTATTTCTTTTTTCAGTTTTTAAAAATTTTGTTGACATTTGTCGGCCCAAATGAATGAAAATTTCGTTGACATTTGTTTCCCAAATGATTTCAGATTATTTTATATCAATTTGATAATGGTGTTGTTATTTTTAAATTTTTTTATAAATCTTTTATAATATTTAATCAAACTTAAGAAGATTATAATATCTAAAATATTAGAAGGTCACGTTAGGTATATCTTTTTAAGATCAATAGATATCTAAAGTTTAATCAATTTAGATACATTATTTATACGAAAATTTTTAAAATCTCCCCGGCCACCAACCTCCCCCTCTCCAGCACCGCCGCTGCTTCTCGGACAGGGTGACTCACCTCCCCACCGCCGCCACTGCTTCAGCCCGCACCCCTGCTTCCCTTCTTCCCCACCGTCGCTGCAAGGCAACTCCTTATCTACCGCCGTCGTTGCTTCCCGGCCGCTCGACCATCGCTGCCGCTGCTTCCCGGCCTCTCGACCACCGTCGCCGCTGCTCCCTAGCCAGCGACCTTCCCTCCTCGCTGCCCCATCTCGCTCGAGCAAGAAGGGCCATGACCGCTACTTCACAGCCAGCAGACCACCACTCTTGTCGCTTCTACCATCGGCGACGTTGCCCCCAACCGCGACCCTCGCTGCTTCCTCCTCAACCACTATCGTCGTTACCCCTAGCCGCGACCCTCGCTGCTTCCTCCTCAACCACTACCACCGTTGCTCCTCGGCCAGCGACCTTTCCTCCTCATATCCTTGACTGCCCTACCTCAACTCTAGCAGCGCACGCACCATCGATTCCCCTTCTTAATCCCGGTCGCTTCAACACCACATCCCTCCTCACGGAGATAGAAACATGGCAGCAACTCTTCCTCCTCGCAGTGACTGTAGCACTACCCTCGATGTTCTGTCACGAACAAACTTCGAAACAGGATGTTTGATGTAATGCTTATGTATATCCATGTCTTTCGGTATATTCATGCTTTACACAGCATGTAGAGGGACGACCGAAGGCTTAATAGTCCCATTTTAGTTGAGTTTGGTGGCCGCTTTAGGCTTGTAAATAAAGGTTGTGTCATGTGGACACTTGTGAGAGATTTTCGATTTGTAATGGACCATTTTGACCCTTTGTTGTGCAACTATTCAGAGCTTATAAAGTCTGTTTGTAATTTGCATTGTCTATGAAGTGTTTTTCGGAAATGTTTGCTTGTGGATCCCGAAGTAGGCGTTTTCTCTAACCCGTTCTCTCTTTTGTGTGCCTAAGGGAACATGGGAGGCTTCAGGAAGGCTGACTTTTATGGACGAACATGCAAGGGTGCCGCACGACTTAGGCAAAATCAGTTAAGTCTGTGACAAATGATATCAGAGTGAGACAAGCACTTATAGTGCCACAGTGTTGCCAGTCAAGTTGTTAGGTAGAAAGCGGTGCGCAGCGGAGATTGTACTGGTAGGGGCAGAGGCCCAGGATCCAGACAATGGTGCACTATTTTCAGCGAAGTTGGTGGACTTCGGGAGCTACTAGGCGACGGACTATCCTAGAGTGGTGCTTCATCTAGGTGTGACCCAAGAGTGGGTGGATAAAGGTCGATTGCCAAAGGAGCGAACAAAATCAAAGTTGGAGGAGACCTTACGATGTATTGGCAGAGGCCACACATGAAGGGATCACAATTCGAGTTCATCCCACAAGGATCAGAATGCAATGAAGATGTTACTAAGAGACGACATGGTGCAGCGGATCGTGGTGGGATAGTTCGTGGCGATGCGATACACACGACATGGTCCCGTGAGGGACTAGATCATACGGAGGTATGATCGGGAGCTACTGAAAGCTCCACTTCGGTGAACAACATGATGACAAGAAGGGCTATAGATTCAAGGAGTGAAGGCCATGGTACCGCAGAGGCGGGTCTTCCGTGCGTGCATCAAATTTTTGCATCGGATGAAAGCTTTGGTCATCAGCATATGGGGGTTGTGTTCCACTAAGGGAAAAGTTTGAATGTAAGTACCAGTGAGTCTCAAGGGAGGGACTTGATCATACAGAGGTATGATCGAAGCAGCTGGAGAGTTGGACTGTTCCAGAACTCATATTCGCTTAAGGAGCCCGATAAGTTAGAGGACAAGGTCGAGTAAGCGAATGTTGCTACCAAGGAAGCTAAGGAGAACAGAATCGGTGCAAACCCTACAACGTGATGGCAGAGGCCATGCATGGAAGTTGCAATCTGTCTTTCCATCGACCAAAGGGAGCTGCTTGGAGAACATAGAGGTGTTGAAGTAGGGGGTCAAAAGGGGCGAGGAAGCGACGACGAGTCCAAAGGGACTTAGCTATCCAAAATCAAGCATTAGTTAGAATAGAGGTGGACTCAGAGGAGTGCCACAGAGACATATCTACTGATCATGAAGAAAAGGGATACAGATGCGAGGCGACGGATAGTAGGGCCATGGGCATGACAGCGCCATGGTACCGTAGAGGCGGGACTTCCGTGAAAGTCATTGATCCCTTGCTCTCATGGAGGGAGAGCGCTTGGTCATGAAAGGGGCCGAGGAGGTGGAGCATACAGAGGAACTTCGTAAGACCAGTGTCAACGAGCTTCTTATCAAGATAGCCGAAAGTGAAGGACTTTGGGTTAGGCAAGAGTACACGACCAAGGAATGAAGCAGGCAGTACACGGTGCTATACCTTTGCTACTTAGTGGAGTAGGCGGCAGGGTTGATGGAGAAGACGGTACAATCCCAAAGGCAACCAAATCTATTAGAGAATTACTCCAAGTTGGGGTAAAAACTTCCTGCATTCCAGAAGTTCGATGGCATTAAGAAGATGAATCACTGTAACTAACTCAACGCAAGGAGTGCAAACACTTCAAGTGCTTCAGAAGTGTGAGCAAAGAGCAGGCGAAGGCCAGTAACCAGCTTGATGCATGAAGTACAACCTCGAGGAGGCGAGCGAAGTCAAGCAACCATTGCCTTCTCAACTCTTAAGAGAATGGGTGAAACCGAGTACCCCAATTCTCTTATCTATCTAGCAGAGGAGCTTTGCATAGGTTCAAAGACCCTTTGAAGATAATAGAAGACAATAATTATCAAATCCTCACCAACAATGATCAGTGCTACTAAGAGTAGATTGTTCGCTTTATTTCCCAATGAAATGCCAATCGAAAGTGGAAGTGATGCGAATCTACTTGGAAGTGACAACTAAGTGAAAGAAGAGTCAATGGGCAAATTTTGTGGAGGAAGGACCTAAAACTTCAGAAGTTTACGAGGCGATGCTCGTTAAAGCTCCAACAAGCATCCACCCAGTTCAAATAGCATAAGACATTTGAGAGATTGGCGCATAGTAAGAATGATCTTTTCCTTCATCTGGAGGATCTGCAAGAACCAATAAGGATCAACACAACTCAGCCAACCCCACACTAGAGTCAGAGTCATTGGCGAATTGAAGCAGCATGGCGGATAAAAAGTTCGACTACTAAAAAACAGCAGCAGAGAGCAGCTAGGAGCCAAGAGGCGCACTGCAGCTGGAGCAGAAGATTGAAGACTCAGCAAAGGCAAGGAGTTGTAGTGTCGGCAAAGGCTTCGACGAGGACGTCGAAGGAATAAGTGGGGGAGAATGTCACGGACAAACTTTGAAATAGGATGTTTGATATAATGCTTATGTATGTCCATGTCTTTTGGTATGTTCATGCTTTGCACAGCATGTAGAGGGGCGGCCGAAGGCTTAATAGTCCCATTTTAGTTGAGTTTGGTGACCGCTTTAGGCTTGTAAATAAAGGTTGTGTTATGTGGACACTTGTGAGAGATTTTCGGTCTGTAATGGACCATTTTGACCCTTTGTTGTGCAACTGTTCAGAGCTTATAAAGTCTGTTTGTAATTTGCATTATCTACGAAGTGTTTTTCGAAAATGTTTGCTTGTGGATCCCGAAGGAGGCGTTTTCTCTAACCCGTTCTCTCTTTTGTGTGTCCTAAGGGATCATGGGAGGCTTCGGGAAGGCTGACCTTTGCGGACGGACATGCAAGGGTACCGTATTACTTAGGCAAAATCAACTAAGTTTGTGACAGATTGCTTCCTCGGCAGCTTCGGGTCAACATCAGAAACGAGAACTGGGGATTACAGATTTGTAGTCTTACGCAATGGCTACCGATAACTCAGTGAAAGTACAAATGGAAGCATTAAAAATCAGAATTGAGAACCGGCTATAAGAAACACTTAATGATTTCAAAAAGAGCATACTGGAGAGCCTTAGCAAATTTCAACAAGATGGGAGCTTAAGTTCTACGTTGAACAGATCCGGAGATACAGGAAAAGGGCCCCAAAATTGTGACATAAACTACCCACACATTAAGGTAAAATTTCTGAGATGGGAAGATGAGGATCTGACCAATTGGATCTCCAAGGTAAAAATTTTTTCACAGGACCCCTGAAGAATCTAAGGTAGAAATAGCCTCAATCCAACTAGATGGAGATGCAATCCAGTAGTATGATTGGTATGAAACTTGCCACGGAGTTCCTTCATGGGAGCATTTCAAAAGAGGACTTCTTGTTCGTTTTGGCCCATCTGAATATGAGAATGTTGATAGGTAGCTTG